CTCTAGATATCGATGGCGTCACGACAAAAAGGCATAAGCGCCAAAATTTCTAAATTTATGTTTTGGTATCAAAATAAAATACATTTTACGTCCTATCGACTACTAAAAAGACGCAGCTGTAAAAAAATTCCAACTCAACTAAAACAAGCTTTGAATTTTCTAACCGCCAAACGAGTTTCTTAAAAGATGAGACACCGAAATCAGTAAGCGACAAGATCCGTAGTGGAAGATGGTGCTTACGTTTTGGGCTTGAAAACGTGGTTATATCAATAAAGTAAACAATAATTTGAAATATTATTAATATGTAATGTTTTGTTAAGCGTTTAGTTAGATTTTTCATCTTGAGAAATCATAATATACCATAAGAATCTACAATTTTACCGACTGTCGGTTACGCCTTTTCAGAAAAACATTTTTCGTTTATCTAACCGCCATTTGGCCATTTAAAATACACTATGACTTAAATTTGTCATAGAAAAGTTACTACTTAACCGACTTAAATAAGGTTTGAACCTAAATAAAATATATATTTACTCTGTCGTATAGTCTTCTTCATTTTTATATTAAAGTTATATTTTGGTAGTAATATTATTTTAAAAAACTAAAATTTGAATGGCGCTTACTTCTTTTTTTTAATGGTTTTTAGAATGGTTTCTCGGGGACACAAAATAATAAATCTTGCATTGCAATCCATTTTGGAGAATCAGGAAAGGAGATTCCTGCACAGGAATGTGCAGGAATCCAGCGGAAATAATAAAAAACATGGTTCATTTTCCAATGAAAATGAGGTCGTCAATGAAGCTCTAAAGCATGATGTTCTTTTAGAGCCTATACTAAAAGACCATAAACAAGAACTCCAAATACATAATTCTGTTTTGGATGATGATGTCATTGTGGATTTCAGTTTTCCTCCAAGTCCAAATTTTAATATTGACAGCCGTCTATTTTCGAATGTTGATGAGACTGCCGAAGAAGACATTGATTTATTACCCTGTGATAAAAAGCTTATACCTTACTCATATAGTGATGATACTGATGATAGTACTGATAATGCCGCAATAGTATTTAGTTCATTAGTTGATGATAAGATAGGTTGTAATGATTTTATACAACATAATGTTTCTTTAAACTCCGAATCAGATTCATCATTCTTGACAGTTTTTCTTACAATTGGGACTGAAATTGACAGCATTAGTTCTAGCTCATCGACTGGTTAAATTTCTAGTAAAACATCAGGTAGTTCATATCAAAGCATTAATTTTAAAGATAGAGGACAAAAGGGAGAAAAAAAGGAAAATAATTTATTATGTCAACGAAAGTTACGTAACTTGGGGAAAAGATACTGTAATTATAAAAACAAACGCATTGCTGAAAAAGTTTTGTTTCCTAATCCATGTTTAGGCAAAAAATGTGTCAATCAATGTAATAGCTTTAGCACTGAGGATAGAAATAGTATTTTTTTAAAATTTTGGAACCTAAGTAATAATTTAAATAAATTTTAAATAAATAAGTAAAATTTCATTAACGGTTGCGTTAATGTCATACCTGTAAAGAGAAAAAGAACAGTTTCTGAGTCACGTCGGAATATAACTTATCAATACTTTCTTTTGAAAAATGATGTACAAAAACGGATTTGCTTACAATTCTTTAAAAATACTCTAAATATTAGTCAAAAACTGGTACGGTATTCTATTAAAGGAAAAATTGAAGTTAACCGTAAGAATAGACGGAAACATGAACCTAAACATAAAATTACTCCAGAAATGTTAATATGTAAATATTTTATTGAGGGTCTTCCTGCTGTCCCCATGCACTATTGTCGAGGGTCGACTAAAAAACTGTATCTACCAGCAGATACTAAAGGCATTTCAAATCTTTATAAACTGTACACCATAAAAATAAATAAAAATAATGGTATCCCCTTTAAAATATCTACTTTTAAAAAGAATTTAAAAAATATTACAACATTTGTATTCATGTACCTACAAAGGGTAAATGTTTCACATAAAAAATAGTACGTTTTAATAGATTTTGTTGTTTAGTGAACACTCATAAATATATTGTGTACTATTTATTTTCTATCATTTTTACTTAATTATTATGCTTTAAAATGAAAAGATTTATTCTCCATTTTTGTTATAATTCCGTAAAATTAAAAGGCGTACAAGTTCCTAAGCGACATTTTTTGATCAAAATATTTTTTTCCAAATATGGTAACCGCCTTTCAAAGAGGCTTAAACACCACAGAACCTAACATTAAAGGCGTAAGCAAGACTACAGGGGAAAACGCTGTGAGTCAATTTTTATCGATTTCTTGAGGAATACATTTTTCGATACTTGGATAGACGTAGTACAATCCACAGATATCAAACAAAATGAAAGTGCAATAAGTCAAACGTTACAAACGAATAAAATAATGCTGTACAATGGAAGAGCGCTGCAAGTCAAGGTTAAACTAGGCAACAATGCTATAAGTCAGATTTAGGTGCTCAATGCGTCTGTCCGTAGGGACAATTTACAACGGAAAATCACAGTCAGTGTTCAGTATTCATACAAGTTGTTTATTTAAGTATCAATATTATCATAATCACAGTTTGTTTTTTAACGTTTGGTAAGTTTGAACTATTGTTTATTAATATGGAAAGTGAGGACAGCGAAATTGAAGAGGATTTACAGTCAAAAACTACAAGAAAACGAAAAAGGTTTGGGCGAATACGTGATGTAGCTAAAGCGCTAAAAGTGCAAACTCACGAAACAGGCGAGGACTGCCGTTGCAAAATTATCAGTGTTTTGAAAATATAACGGTTGAACAAAGAAATACAATTATTCGTAATTTTAATTCTATGCTGAATTGGGACGAGCAAAGTATGTATTTGGGTGGTCTAATATCCATACTTCCTGTAACATAAAGAAGGCCAAGAAAAGATGAAGAGAATTGCAACGTAAGGGATGGCACTTTTTATTACAGAATTCGCCTTGCGGTAACTAATAATAAGGGGCATACATCACCTGCAAAAGACGTTTAGGTTTGTCAAAAAGCTTTTGTTGCTCTTCATGGCATATCCACGAGAAGATTACAAACTGTACAAAAAGCCCTAAAACATGGTACAACCGCCAAGGACAATAGATGTAAACATGGCTCAAAACCCAATAAATTGTCTGAAGAAACTATGCAGTTAATTTTAAATCACATAAAATCATTTAAAGGACGCATGCGTCACTACAGCCTAAAAAAATTTAGCAGGAAGTACCTTCCACAGGAACTTAACAATAAAAAGATGTACAAAATGTTCCTTGAGAAACTTCCTAATAGAGCTATGAAGTATATAGTAAAATATTCAACACACGCTTTAATATCTCCTTTGGGTATCCCAGAACCGACACTTGCAGCATTTGTGATGCTTCCAAAATAAAAATAAGGGAATGTAACGATGAAAAATTAATTAATAAACTTAAAACAGGGCAGAAACTTTACTTGCTGAAAGCACAGACATTTTACAAACGAAAAACAAAAGCTAAACTACGAGCAAGGATCTTAAGAGAATATGAAGTCATAGCCATGGACTATAATAAAAACCTTCCAATGCCTAATATTACAAGTAACGACGTGTATTATAAAAGGCAGTTGTCTTTCTACTCCTTTAATGTCCATCGACTTAGTGATAATGATTTGTTATGTACTCGTACCCTGAGACAGTAGCTCGAAAGGGTGCCAATGAAGTTTGCTCATTTCTGTATGACTATGTGACAATCCAGCTTCCTCCTGAAGTTCGTAACTTAGTGATTTTCTGTGATTCGTGTGGAGGCCAAAATAAAAATTGGACGGTATTCCGGTTTCTACATTATTTAGTCCATAAAATAAACAGATTTGACTCTATTTCTGTGACCTTTCCTATAAGAGGTCACTCTTACATGGAGACGGATAAAGATTTTGGTATCGTTAATTAAAAAAGTGCAGCAGAAACCCCAGAAGATTGGGAAGCAGTGTTACGATTGTCTCGTCAAAAACCTGTGCCTTATAAAGTAGAAGTGGTTGATAACTACTTGGTGCGTAGCTGGGACACTAGCACACTTCTTGCACCTATGTATGTTATAAAAGCACCTTTTAAAACTAGACCAATAAGAGAATTAAGAATTTCAAAGCAACATCCCAGACTAATTTATTTCAGAGACACCTACAATGGAACAATGGTTTCGGCTGTCATTAACAAAAAAGTGACTGGTAGGTAACCACCGTGTACTGGAAAAGAATTCGTTTTTCCTTCTGGATGCTATACTGAGTCACTGCCCATTCCAATGGCAAAATACAAAGATCTCCAAGTTTTAAAAAAAATTTGTTCAGAAAAAGGAAGAATGTATTTTGATCAGCTAAAAAAAACATGACTTATTTTTTATCTTAAGAATTTTACAATGTTATTGATTAATTTAACAGATAATATTAATGTTTTTAGCTTTAGTTAAATTAAACAAGTCTAGTTCTGCTTATTTTTTTCTTTGGTTGAATTCATATTATATTATTTTGTCAATTACAGCGTTTTTGCCTTTCTAGTCCAGACCTTTGGTTGTTTTTTTTTTTTAATTTTTCTCGTTAACTACTGTACATGACAATTTCAATTTTATAATATCATACTCTGTATATATGAGTTGTCAAATACTCAATACAATAGTGGTTTAGCTTGTTTATTTATGAATTATGAAGTTTTGAATCTAAAAATCGCGTTTTCCAAAAATTTAAAAAATTGACTTACAGCGTTTTTCCCCTGTAGTCTTCATATGGTAAGTCAAAATGCCTCAGTTCTATAATAATAAAATGTCAAAAAAATGTAAAAAAAAAGAAATATTAAGCGATATTAAACGTTTTTTGTGTCTCCTGAAAAAACTGGCAATGGCGCTTATGCCTTTCTGTCGTGACACCGTCGATATTTGGACGTTGGATGTAGTTTTTCCTCCTACAGGTACAAACATAAGTACAAAAATTACAACTCGAGCATTTTTATAAAAATTTTATTTTTATTAAACACAATTAAATAGAAAAAATGGCTGACAAAATAAATAACGTTTGTTTCATCACATATGGCTAAAATCGCTGAGATACTTTTTAATCTCAAACGCTACTGACCTACAAACGGTTTGAATAAATTCAAAACTAACGTTACACTTATATTTCTGACCGTCCAACACACAGCTGTCTGACACCGAAGACAATAACCTTAATTCCATCAAACTGGAAATCTGCACCAACAGGTTGTTGTTAAATCCCATTTTATTATCTTTCTCGTCCAGGATGGAATAGAAAATGGCCAACAATCTGTCGAAAACGAACGGCTTAGGGCCCAGTTGAGTGTTTAATTGTTCGCTAACTTTGCTTTTCAATCTGATATCTTTCAACTTCTTCCTCTGTTTACCATGATATTTCATGAAAAGTCTCTTATCGTCTTTGGCAGGATTGTAGCTAGCCAGATAGGCTGCTATAAGCAGGTATTTAGCATAAAACGGTAATTCTAATGTTGGCATGGATTTTTCTTTGACAGAAGAAGCTGGTTTAGTTGTGTCGATTCTTAAGTAGAGCATTTCTAGCGACTGTTTTAACACGGGTGATATATTTCTCCACAAGCCCATAGAGTCTTCTATGGCAAGTTCCTTTTTGAAAACAGGTTCACAGTATTTTACAAAATTGATTCGAGACATGTACCGCAGTTCAGACAAGTCTTTACAAGCTCTATAAAAAGTCGACAAGAAGAGGTTAAGGTAGTTTTTATAAAAGTTTAAATCAAAATCCAAAACCATGTTAAAGTGTTGGCAAATAAACGTTTTAGAATCCTCAAAATCTAAAGAAATGATTTTTAACAAATCGTTTTTGTTATATTGTGGAAAATGTATCTTTAAAGGCTCAATTCCCCCTGCTTTCGTATAATATTTTTCAAACAGAATTTCAGATATCATCACAACTACTAAAGAAATTCCAGTGAGTTGTTTTAGTCTCAAAAAACAGGGTAGTAGATTATGTTCCATATTTCTGAGCTCATCGGCATTGTCCAAAACCAAAACAAACCCGTCAAGATTTTTTTCCTCGTTGCATTTCTCCACGTTGTACAAAAAGTCCATCATGTTGTCGCATCTCGCGTAAGGCACAGGATTCTTTGGATCCAACTGATGACCGGATATTTTATTTAAAATTGTCTCGAACAGAATTTTCGATGAGTAACATTCAATAATGTTCACTACGGCGTGATTGATATCCAAGTGCTCGAGTGTCGAGGTGACCACAATTGATTTTCCACTGCTTGGGCCTCCATAAACGTAGACGCTTTCAATTTGAGGTTCATCTTTATATGCAAACAGATTATAGAGCAGTTCGATTTGGATATCTCTACATGGCAGGAACTGCCTCAAATTGGATAAATTGTGAGCCATTGTGCGGCGAATACGACAGCTAAAACAAAGGATTCGGTTAATATACAATCAGGTCTCGTAGAAAATTGAATGCAAATTTTATCGTAGATAAACTTAATACATATTCTAAAAAGTAAATTTGATTTGAATATTACATTAACTGCATGCGAGATCACAGTGGAGAGTTACTAGAAAAAGTGGATATACAGGGTGAGTCATGAGGAACTTTACATACTTCTACCATATGTAGAGTCCCTCAGGGAGCATATCATGTGGCCACTAAAAAATGTCAACTCCTCTTCTTTATTAATTAACAGGGTGATTTGTGTCATTGACCATTTATTTCATTTTACTGTAGTGTTTATACGGCTCATTTGATTTTTTTAATTTTTGCATGATACAGTACACGACTATCAAGCATTCGACTGGTATTAGCTAAACTAAAAAATTCCAGGACTGGCTTTGGAAAAATTAATTTAGGGATTCGTATTAAATATTACACCCTGTATATATATTTTTTAAAATGCAATAAGTGATTTTCAAACTTCATAAATAGCCAATGAAAACGACATATGCGACAATGTTGTCGCACTTTTATTAAATTTTTAGTGAACGATCAAATCTTACCAAAAATAGAACAACCATAATGAAGTATCCAATTATAAGGTATTAATTTAAACAAATGTTATAAATTTCAAACATTTTAATTAAAATGAGTTCCTACAACATAATCTAATACGTAGAAAATTAACATCTTTACTGTCACTTTGTATTATCTCTACGATAGAATCAATTGTTTTTCAATTTTAAATTTTTACTCATAGATCGTACTGGGGCATTATTTTCGATAAATAATAAATTAAATTGATTAAAAAGTCAAACCTCTTGTATGTGTTAGTTTTTGTTGATTGTAAATGATTAAAATTTTATGTCAAATAATAATACATTGCATCAACTGTACTAAATAAAAATAAATCTAAAAAAGTTTAAAATGAAGCGTTGACCGTTTGACGTTTCTTGATATTTTATACCCATGGTCATTATTGTCATTATCAATTGTTATTTATGTGTACAAGAATACATATTTCTTCGGTCATATCTACGTTAAGTACATTGTGTTAGTTTTGGTAGAGCTTTTGTTACTTTCGTTCAAAATGCCACATCAGTTTTCGACCACAGAATATGCAGACATAATATTTGTTTATGGATTCTGTAATGGGAATGGTAGGGCTGCTAGTAGAAAATATCGCAGGAGATTTCCTAATCGTCGAACTCCCAGTCATCCAACATTTGGGTCAGTTTTTAATTATTTGCGAGAAAATGGAACTTTTCCTAGTGGAACAACAAAGCGACATGTAGATGAAGCGCAGTAAGATGACATAGACGCCGTTACTATGAACCCTACAATAAGCACTAGACAAGTAAGTAGAGAACTCAATGTTACTCAATCAAAAGTAAGTTGAGTCTTACAAAAAAATAATCTATACCCATATCACATTCAAATGGTTCAGCGACTACGTGCTGGAGATGAGATCGATAGGTTGGAATTTTGTAGATGGATTAACAATAATCGACCAACGCTATACAGGACATTATTTACAGATAAAGCCCAATTTACCAGAGACGGGATAAATAATTCACGAAATTCACATGTGTGGACAGAAGAAAATCCCCATGCTATTCGAGAACGTCGTTCTCAGTTAAGGTTTTCGGTTAACGTGTGGATTGGTGTCATAAATAACCAATTACTAGGTCCTCACTTTTTTGATGGTCCTTTAACAGGACAGGTCTATTTGAACTTTCTACAAAATATTTTGCCGAATTTGCTTGCCAACGCAAACGTTGCTATCCGAGGGATGTATTTTCAGCATGATGGGGCACCCCCACACTTTTTACTGGCAGTGAGACATCTCAATAATGTTTATGGCAACAGGTGGATAGGACGTGCAGGTCCTATTTCGTGGCCTTTAAGATCCCCTGATTTCAATCCCGTTAATTACCATATTTGGGGACGATTGAAGCAACTAGTTTACGCAGTGAATATTAATAACCGACAACAATTAATTGATAGAATTCTACATTGTTGTAATACTATTAGAAACGATCCCCAGAGTACCCGTAATTCAATACATCAATTAATAATTCCACAACAAAAATGTGTACAGGCTGCAGGGTTCCATTTCGAAAATCTATTTTGAATTATTTTTATTTTGTTACCATTATTGTATCTTTTCCAGTTCTAATTTATGGGTTTATCATAACTATGTACATATTTTTAGTTTTTTTTTTTTTAAATTGTTCTTCGTTATTGTTAGTAGTTACTGTTTTTTGTTGTGCAGTGACTCAGTTTATCATTTCAATTAAAATGTTTGAAATTTATAACATTTGTTGAAATTAATTTCCTTATAATTTGATACTTCATTATGGTTGTTCTATTTTTGGTAAAATTTGATCGTTCACTAAAAATTTTATAAAAGTGCGACAACATTGTCGCATATGTCGTTTTCATTGGCTATTTATGTAGTTTGAAAATCACTTATTGCATTAAAAAATATATATACAGGGTGTAATATTTAATACGAATCCCTAAATTAATTTTTCCAAAGCCAGTCCTGGAATTTTTTAGTTTAGCTAATACCAGTCGAATGCTTGATAGTAGTGTACTGTATCAAGCAAAAATTTAAAAAAATCAAATGAGCCGTATCAAAACTACAGTAAAATGAAATAAATGGTCAATTACACAAATCACCCTGTTAATTAATAAAGAAGAGGAGTTGACATTTTTTAGTGGCCCCTGAGGGACTCTACATATGGTAGAAGTATGTAAAGTTCCTCATGACTTACCCTGTATAATTTTATGTATACAATAAATTAGATGAGTTGTTCTAATTACACTGCTCAAAAAAAAAATTGGGGCACGACTAGTCCAGTTACTGAGGGTTTTTACGTCCGAAATCTTTATAACTGAATCGATTCACTTGAAAATTTGTGTGTTGGTAAATAATTACTCAAGGAACAAAAGTTATATAGTGCCGATGTGCGCTTCTACCCTGGGGGTGTTTGCCACCTCTTTTCGAGGGTGGAAATTTTTTCACTCAAAATAACCACGCTATTCGATAGAAGGACAAATTTCAAACAAAAAATGTATTAAACATTTTTTTCGCTAGATCAATACTTTTTGAGTTATTCGCTGTTGAAAAGTGTCATTTTTCGTTAAAAAAAAACATGTTTTTAAAAGGTTTTTTAAGAATAGCTCTGAAACTAATAGTTTTATCAAAAAAAGTGTAACGATTAAAATTAAAGCTTATAAAAAAACAAAAAGATTGGCTTTTTATATTTTCAGTTCAATATTAACTGGGTTATGGCTGTTCAAAGAAGGTTTGTTTTTGTTTTTGTCTTTCAATGTGAGTATTTAACGTTAAATAACGGAAAACTGGTACATTTTTCGACAAAAACTCATATATTTTATAATATTTTTAAAAGAGCTTGAAAAGACCTTTAAAATGAGTGGTGGTAAAAGTCCTTTGCACCAACTGTACGTGAGATATGATCAAAAAAACGATGGGTTTCTCAAATTTTTGTAAAAAAACGCAATAAAACTAACGTTATGTTCACTAAGATTGAAATAAATTGTTATCCTTATAGAATTCACTTTATTTTAGTGTTATTTGTATGATCCAAAAGTTTAGCCACTTTAGAATACCCAGTTTTTAAAAAAAGTATGATTACATTTTTTTTATAATTTTTTTATAATAACTTCAAAACTATAATAGATACGTAAAAGATGACACAATACAAAAAAATAGGTTTTTTTTTCAACAAAAATTTTCATTTGTTAATTTTTTTTGTAGTTTTAAAAATAACGGAGATATAGTCGGTTGAAGTTTGATTTATAGCGCATGAACCACTGCACTGGTCTCCGACCCTTTGACGCTTCACCCTTTAAACATGAAGTACTTGAAGAATGTTTTAACAGTCCTATACTTATAGCCCGTTAAAGCATCCAAATTAACCGAGTTATTGTAAAAAAACCAATGGTACTTTTTAGAATAAATTTAGAAGCATTTAATATATACATATGCATCTACAGATTGAACGAATTTAAAACGGATCATACAATGTAATATATGTCCGTTTGAATTGCATTTGAAATAGTGGACCAATATAAAACTTGGACAAAAATAAATCCATATCTGGGTATAGACATTGTAAAAAATATCGTTCAACTATCTGTCTCGCAACAATGTTACAATGTTCAGGAATCAATCAATCTTAAAAATCTTAAAAATCAATTGTTATGAGTGCTATAGGTGAAAACAATTTTTTGCCAAAATATTGCAACTTTTCAACTTTTGAATATCACCCTTTATAACATTGCAGTTTTTATAAACTAATTTAATAGATATAAATTGAAAAAAGTAGAATTAAATACAAAAAAATTTATCAACATAAAAAGGCACCATATATTCTTATACATTTACATAAATAGTTGAAAATATTTACATTTATGTTATATATTATATATTATACAAATGTTTGTTCATGCGTACGGGTAATACCAAACCATCTTTAGAATACCATCCCCAATCTGTTGCTCTGATATTTTCATTGCCAAGCCATAGACATATGAGCAGATATTTTATTCTGTTGTATGGGATTTCCAAATAAGAACGCTTAAAATTTCGAATGTATAACGCCCCACTACCTAATATACCGGTTGTATATGATGTATCTGATGAATAGATATTCATTTATTTTATACCTCGTTTTATATAAATATTTATTTTTAGTTTTTTGGAAAACAAAAAAAATGTAATATATTATAAACTAAATTTTTTCTATTTATGTCCATGTGTAAGTTAAGGATTTAAGGATTTTATTTTCATCAAAATGGGTGCTTGTAAGGGTTGAAAAAACTAGGCTGATTTTATAAGTAAAAAATTATCTCACAATTCAAAAATAATCACTAAAACATGAAAAAAACCTCAAATTTTGGTCGGTTCTACCCCGTTCGACGATATTTGGATCGTTTCAAACTAT